CTCGGTGCTGTCCCCAGTAGGAGTAAGCGAGGGCGCCACTGAGGTGCAGGAGAACCAGCAGGAGGAAGACCTTCACGCTCCACGGACTGTCACCAGAGAGCTTCATCCTGAGCACCAGCGGGTCCTGGCCGAGGGCTTTATCTGCGAGGCGCTCTGCTTAAGAGCAAACTTCAAACACTAATTTTTTTTTTCGTCTCCTGTACGTGTTTATTTTTTCTTATTTTCTCAGCTGCGGGATCACATTAGTGCTTACCGCAGTTTGTTTAATTTCACCAGTTATTTTGCATCCGCTGAGCACTCGAGTAATCTGAAGTTGGATCAAGTTTAATGCTCGCAGCAGTAAGTTTTCTAAGTCTCTTCATCCGCCTTTCGTTTCACTCTCTTCGTTAATCCACTCGTGTATCAGGGCTTACGTAGCACCTGCTACCTTATTACGACTTACCGTTCCTACACTCACTGTTTATCAGGGTTAACGTATTTCCAGCTCATTTATCACGGCCCACGTACCCCACACTCGTTTATCGGGGGTCTACATATGCCACACTCGTTTGTCAGGGTTTGCGTATCCCCCAAACTTTTTTGGGATGACGTATTTCACACACTCGTTTATTAACACTTTTCTTTCACTCGTTTATTAGGGCTTACGTTTTACACACTCGTGCCGCAGGGTTTGTGTGCCACACTCGTTCTTCAGGTTCCTCGTATTCCACGTTAACAGTCACGATAAAGCGATTATAAGATTAAAAAAACACACGATGCATCGTTAATCGATTTTTTCTGGGTAGTTAATGAAGGATGGGGAGAAAGGTCTCCCCTCTCCCCTCCTGTGGAAGAAACTAGTTTTATGTTTTATGTTTTATGTTCTTTATGTTTGTCCTAGTGAGATTCAGGGACAATCTTCACTTAATCTACACTGCTGAACTCAAGCACATTTTCCGTGGCTGGCGAAGGCATGTCTTGGTGAGAATTTTCATCTTCGTCACTGAAAGATTTTGGGGGTTTAAAAGGTAATCAGAAAAATGTGTTGACTGCAGTGTTTGAGAGAGAAAAAAAATCTACGTAGCCAAGATTGTTTGAATAGATTGGAATTAGTTAATTAGTAATAATATTGTAATTATTATCATTATTATAATTAAGATTATTTTTAATGGGAAAGCGCTAAACCTGTAATGAACATGAAACACCTGTAGAATGGGAGTTAACAGGTTTGCTTCTAGAAATGGAAGAGTAGCTTTAAGTCCATGTCTTAAGAGTCCATCACAGCATCTTTCCTCCCCCAAACTCAATTATCATAAAGATTGTTATGTTATGTCAATGATATGCCTATCAGTGTCAAGTGCAAACTCCTACTGTATGCAGATGACAGTGCTCTGTTAGTGTCAGGTAAAGACCCACAAATATTGCTAATGTTTTAACACTGGAACTGGAGTCCTACACCAAATGGTTAGTAGACAACAAACTATCATTACACCTAGGGAAAACTGAAGCCATTCTCTTTGGCACGAAACATAAACTGAGAAAGGTAAATAATTTTAATGTTCAATGTAATGGGGAGCCCATCACTTTGGTTTCATCAGTAAAATATTTGGGAATCCCCTTTGACTCATGCATGTCAGGAGAATTGATAGGGAACAGTGTAGTAAAGAAAGCGAATGCCAGACTGAAGTTCCTGTATAGACAAGCACAGTGTCTACCTACTGAGGCTGGCAGGACCCTATGTCTAGCCCTTATACAATGCCATATGGATTACGCTTGCTCTTCTCGGTACTCTGCCTTGACAAAAAAACTGAAAGATAGACTGCAAATCACCCAGAACAAAATCGTAAGATTCATACTGGGGCTGGGACCAAGAGAACATGTAGGCCAGGATGAATTACAGCAGTTGGATATGCTGAATGTTGAAGACAGAGTAAAACAACTGAAGCTAAATCATGTTTATAAAATTGCTCACAACAATGTCCAGAATATCTTGCTGTCATTTTGTCAAGGTTGGGAACCAAAGCAATCATAGTACTAGGGGGAGAGAGCACAACTTTGTAGTACCCACAGTCAGTGGCCAGGCTTCAAACACCTTTTATTGTACAGCAATAAAGGAATGGAACAGACTGCCCGCACATGTCAAAGCCAGTCAAGCGTGAACCAGTTCAAGAAGAGTGCCAAAAAGGTGTCTGATGAATGTAGCTACGGAAAGGGAGGGGAATGATTTTCTATTTTTTAGCTAACATACGTGTAAATTTTACCTTATTCCTTGTAATGACCCTCGTATTGTAGATAGTCTTAATGACCTTGGTGTAGTAGATAGTCTTTTTAGTATGATAATAAGATGTTATCTTCATGGTAGAATAATAAGAAAATATTATAACCTTTATATTATAATAATAAGGTAAAAGGACCCCAATGGAAATAAGTCACTCTGTCTGACTTTTTTGGGTTATCCCAGGTTTTCTACACATATGCTGCTATGTATGATAATTCTATGTAACTGTATTTGTGTATACCTGAATAAACTTACTTACTTACTTACTAAGATTTCGCAAAATTATTTTATTGTAATTCAATTGTAATTATATTTTTATTACACTTCGCAATACAAAAAAAAAAATCATACAAAACTCAATAAAAACTATGTGCATTAAAAATAAATTCAGTGTTTACATTAATTTATCAAAAGAAAAAAAAACTCAGATAATGACAATTTCCGTTCGATATTTTGCTACAAGTCATCAAAAAATCCTTAAATAAATAATACACTTTCAATGGGTAATTAACTGACAACTATATAAATATAAACATAATTTTGAAAATGCTGTATAAATAATGGACTTCTTTCTTAATATCATCACCTCACATTGTGAACGTTTATCGGTCTTGATGTGGATGCTACGAGAAGAGGGAGAAAAAAAAATTACAGATCGCTGAAGCTTGTTTCGCAATGTGTCTTTTCTTGACTGTTGTCGGTAGTGCGCCACTGAGATCCACTCCGAGACGTATTGCAACATTAAAATGTATTATGGGTGTCAAATAAGCACTGCTTTGGTTCTCATATCTCTGTGTAGCATCAGTACCATTGTTATGTTACATAGAAACGTGTAATTGCTTCGACGATATTGGTGGGGTGAAAAGGGGAGGAGTGGAGAATTCAAGTCACAATAACATGGCTGGCGCAGTTCACATTTAAGCCAAAGTTTGGAGAGTAAACTTAATCGACGGATCCAAATGTCGTATATTCACAACAGTGAAAAGAAGATACGATGCGGAACAAACTTTTATTGGGACTAAGTTACGCTCTACCTAGCTCTATACAGAGCTAAATGTTTTCTCAATAAAAGCGTGTTCTGCAACGCTTAAATTTTGTGTTATTTATTAGTAATTCAAGTATTTGTTAGATGTAGCTTATGAATCGATAACCCGAATTTAGGTCTAAATATGATAACCAGTGGATCGAGAGCTCGAAGCTAAATCCACGAATGTGCGAAATAGCCATTGATGGATTATCCGATATCAAGAGTTTGCAAGATATCTAATATTGATCTAAAATATTAAAAAAAAAGTTCTCATTGCAAAAGAAATCAAATAAATTTAATCGAAACAACATTCAGAAACTACAAGTCAGTGAACTGCAGACGCAAAGTGATGCCAGATATCGAATACTTGACAAATCTACCTTCTACATGTGATATCCCTAGTAGTAGTAGTAGTACTAGTAGTAGTAGTAATAGCAGCAGTAGTAGTAGTAGTAGTAGTAGTAGTAATAATAATAGTAGTAGTAGCAGTAGCAGTAGTAGTAGTAGTAGTAGTAGTAGTAGTAGTAGTAGTAGTAGTAGCAGTAGTAGTAGTGGTAGTGGTAGAAGTAGTAGCAGTAGTAGTAGTGGTGGTAGTACATTCACGAGGAAGAGCCAAAACCGTTAGGGTCATGGAGCACCTGATCGTAACCAGACTTGATCAGAGGAAAGGAAGAGTTGCTCCACTTCTTTGAACCAAGATCCCTTCACCGCCCTCAAGTGAAGTGAATGCATATCTCGGAAGTATGAGACAGTGTCTTAGTATAATGCTGTGAACGAACCATTCACTTGCGTGTTGTGCAGCAGCTAACATTAATCAATGGCGGACTCAGCATCGTACTGCCACAGTGTTGAAGACAAGACACGCGTACAGTACAGAGCCAGTTTTTAGTTGTGACAACGTGTCTGTGTCGAGCTCTATCAGTTCACTGATTTCACAAAGCTCTACACAGAGCGATATTTTGCAACCGTAAAAGCCTACGCTGCACCAATGTCATTTTTTCTCAATAAACTGTGTCAAAAGAAATTCGCATAAATGTTGGGCGACTCATGTATATTTTGTAAGCTTTCTCATCGTGTACCGTCCATGGAGATGGAAGAGATCGATGTCACTCCTGTGCCTCTGTATTGTGTTCGCATAAACAATTCAACCCATTCTGAAGTGGAAAGAATAGTCCGAGCTTAAAAATCATTCATTATTTCCAAGCTCCGACATTCATACACGCGGGATCTGGGGTACAAAAAATACGCAGGTAGCAAGTCATTTTTACGTGTGATTTAAGACGGACATTCTTTTACGTGCACGAACTGAACACATTTCAGCATAGAACAATGAGTGAAACGCCCTTATGTAGTCCACAGAGAAGCGCTAAACCCGTAGCGATCCCACGTTGTTGTAAACAGTTATTGACTGTATGTTGTCTGTAAACGGTTACTGATTGTACCTTGTTGTAAACAGTTACTGATTGTACGTTGTTGTAAACTGTTACTGACTGTACGTTGTTGTAAACAGTTACTGATTGTACGTTGTTGTAAACAGTTACTGATTATACGTTGTTGTGAACAGTTACTGATCATACGTTGTTGTAAACATTATTGATTGTACGTTGTTGTAAACAGTTGCTGATTGTACGTTGTTGTAAACAGTTGCTGATTGTACGTTGTTGTAAACAGTTACTGATGTACGTTGTAGCAAACAGTTACTGATTGTACGTTGTTATAAATAGTTATTGATCATATGTTGTTGTTGTCAAGAGTTACTGGTCATACGTTGTTGTTGTCATTGTTGTTGTAAACATGTACTGAGTTTGTTTTGCACTGTAACAGCAGCAACTTCCATTATCATTAGTGAACATTTTAGCAGCTTTCATTGTTACATTTTTTACGAGGAATCGTTCAAGAGCGCCTGGGAAAAGGTGAAGATTATGAAGTTTGATCCAATTAAAGAGAGGGCAGCTACAATTCATTGGATTAAGATCCTTATACTGGCATCACGACCTTTTTTTTAAAGCTAATGCTCTAGCACCAAACCCATATTATTATTATTATTATTATTATTATTATTATTATTATTATTACATACATGGGGTCTGGAAAGAGGGAAGCAATATACTGCGTATATAATGACTAAATATTGTCTGATTTTGAGCTTGGGCAGTTTGGAAAAGACTTCACAAATGGCGATGACAAGTATGGTAATGAGCGTTTACATGTCCTTGAGCTAAATTGCCCAAATAGATTTAGCGATTAGCATAACATAAATTTTAATTATCTGATTTTATTTATTCTGTATTGGACTCATGAAGCTCCTGGAGTGAGAAACGTTACCCAACATAAACGTTTTCCATGCATTGCACCTTTGTATTCTTTATAAATCAGCGTCTAAGTGGCCCCGATTTCGCAACTCAGTATGCACACCAAGACAAGTGTTGTATTCCACTTTATATGGTAGAGTGTAAAGATCGTGAACAGCCTTGCTTACCCTTGCGGTAGCAATCAAGAGCACCTCAGGGGTTTACGAGCCTCCTCGGGTTGCAATTTAAACTTGACACAAGCTGCCATTCTCTGTGGGAATGAGTTCCCAAGGTGATTGCGTGATACAATGATTCCTCTAAGGGTGCTTCATTGAGGGGAAAAACAAGGTGACACGTACGCAAACACAGAGACAGTTTAAGAAGATTGCTTTCAAAAGTACCTCAGTTTATTTTATGCGAAGCACTAAAACCGTGTGGGTTGTTCAGAGCAAGGACAGGTGGAGGCTTGAGTTTCATCTGAAATCAAGAGGAAAACATTCTCCAAATAAGTAAATAAACTCAGGGTTTGTCATAATTATGCTCTCAGATACTAGGAATATATATATATATATATATATATATATATATATATATATATATATATATATATATATATATATATATATATATATATAATATATATATATGCGTGTGTGTGTGTGACATAAGTTTTAATCCATTCTTGGAAGTTTATTAAACTATTGAGAAACATGTCGTAGATTTGTAATAACCTAGAATATTGTGAGAATTTCCTTACCCAAAGATAAAACCCTGACGGACACAGGAGAAACTAAAGAAGTTGAAAATCATTTATCTGTATGTAAAAAAGCGAATTAAACAAATCTCATGAAACTGCACAATAAATGAAAAGAACCATCATAATCCTTGAGAAAATATGAGTTCTCATTATAATTGCAATTGAAAGAAACGCGATTTAATCTGTAAAATATCCGAGACTTGTAAAAAAATGTTGAGAAATATTTTATGGTAACATCAGATGTGAAAGATAAACAGAGAATTTAAATACAATTATTTTACGACGGTAACCCTTAACAGGCAAGCAAATGCTGTCAATTCACCTTCCCTATTTAAGCAACGGGCGCACATCTCGGCCCACGAACTCTCCAAATTGCAATGGCTCGTAACTGACCCTTCTGCAACCCTATTCACGCTTAATGCTAGAGTATTTTCGGCAAGATACAAGCTGACCAATGTGATATACATTGTTAAATCTGTGAAAGCTCCAAGGGATAATATGAAGTACACCGATGTCATCATTATCGTCTAGAAGAACATCGCTATGATTGAGTGCCAGCCAGTGAGGGAACCCGATCCCTAGAATCCTGCACTCTCAGTAATCCTACTAACTGCCCTGATGAGATCACAAGTGGTTTGGGATAATAAATGTATATCTACTCTAGCTTACACCTGTATCCATTTAAGCGTTGGGCAAGGTGGTGGTGCTGCTGATCACAGGGAAGAATCTAAACTCAGCTAATATGGGAACTTGAGCCAGCCATTTCACTTCATTCCAGGAGGATCGGAGATCCCCTGGAAACTAGGGCAAACGGGCAATGGACTTTGACGAACTCTATTGTTTTAAGTTTTTTTCAGTGAGGTCATCCAGAGGGGAAATACATGTTGTCATCTTCCTGGTTTCCGTCAGGCATCATTATGGAGTTGCAGGAGATTCATAACCTGCACAGTTCTAATGTCTAGATGTTTGTGAAAAGAAAATGAAAGGTCGTCGAATCTCTCTCATATATAATACACACACACACACACACACACACACACACACACACACACATATATATATACATTATATATATATATATATATATATATATATATATATATATATATATATATATATATATATATAATATATATATATATATATATATATATATATATATAATATATATATATATATATATATATATATATATATATATATATATATATATATATATATATATATATATATAATATATAATGTCGTGCCGAATACATAAAATTGGTCAATTAGCCAGAACTCATATAAAATTAAGTCATTTCTCAAATTTTCTCTTATACGTTTAAAGAGATTATATTTTTTCACTTGTGTTAATATAAAAGTTAATAATTTTCTACTAAAGGAACCTTAAGAAACTTACTTAACCTTATTATAACAAACGCAAATTAATTTAGCCTAATTCAACTAAATATATTTTATATAAGTTTACAATAATTTAATAATAAACACACAATGAAATAAATTTCATTCGTTAGGTTCAGAATGATTTTTACGAAATTACTGCATACACAGATTTTCGCTTGCCTTATTTGGCAAGAAGTGCGTTGCTATTTAAGCCACAATCGCAAACTTTACTTATTCGGCATGATATTATATATATATATATATATATATATATATATATATATATATATATTATAATATATATATATATATATATATATATATATATAATATATATATATATATATGGAAAATAAAAAATTGCTCTAGACCTTTTGTACTTCCGTGCTTCGTCAGGAGCTATGCAATGTTGTAAGAGTCGCAACAGGTAGGTTGAGGGAAAGATTCTATCAGAGGTAGCATGGCACAGCGAAAGGCCCTTAGTCAGTGTTTTCTATCACCCATTGGCTTCTTTAGTATTGTTGAAATCGCCTGTTTCTTCTTGGGTTATATATATATATATATATATATATATATATATATATATATATATATAATATATATATATATATATATATATATAATATATATATATATATATATGTATATTATATGTGTATGTTTGTGTGGGGACCACCATAATGAAAACAAAATGATTTGTCCTAAATCTTTTACGGACCACAATGAATTTATTCACTTTCATATTTATTCTGATCGTATTAATTAAGAATTCAAACCACAGGTGCTGACATTCGTCTTGAAGGTCAGCTTCTGCTGATCTTGCCGAACTTTCTTTTCCAGTGCGTAAGCCAAGGAGTCATCATTTCCATAAAATATATCACCAGCGACGGATATGAAGTTCAGTTTGATCACTTCGACTCCACGACACAGGTTTCCCATTAAACTTGGGCACTTAAATGGTTTATGCACTCGAATCATGGTACCTAAAGAAAAATCCTGTCCTTTCCCAGATTAACACTGACTTCCAACATAGTACGAGCACGAGTCATGCGCACCCAAACCTTCCATCGTAATGTTCAAGACGAAGGGTATATATTATTGGGTCTGCGTGTGAAGGAAAGGTGGCAGGGGAGCCAGCTATCGTGCGTCCGTACTCTCCCACGGCCGACACACCACTGGCAGGCGCTCTACGTTATTCTCTGGTTATAAGCGCCATAAGATTACTAGTTAATGACTCCCCTCCTCCTACCCCTATCCTCGTTGTTAGGCAACGTTTACGCAGTTTTTATTTCCCCTATTACCGTACTTGTTTCTATTACGTCACCTGAATCCTCTACGTGTGTTGAGGCACTGAGACGCAGGCGTCAACACCACAGCCTCAGCAGTCAATTGACGCTTGTTGCAAAACCTCGGCCTCTAATGGTTGGTTCACAACAACAGATAATTGTGACTTATTCCCTTCTAGGAAAGTGTTTTGATGTGTTTGAAGAGATATGGATCCAAGGAATTGGAGCTATTCTGACTACCTCCCATTACCCAGGTGCTGCATGACATCTTTTGGTTGAATGCTTCTTCATGAATTTAATAATAATAATAATAATAATAATAATAATAATAATAATAATAATAATAATAATAATAATAATAATAATAATAATAATAATAATAATAATATAATTTCTCGATTCCTCCAACTCACTGCTTCTCCTTCTCTGTCTCTTCCCTCTCTCCCTCCCTCCCTTCCTTGCAGCCATCGACTGCGCCCACGAAGACATAATCAAACAATTGCCTTTATCGACAGAGTTGTGATTTACGGCAGGGTGGCGGGCCATCCCATGCTTGTCTCTCTGCCTCCTACACCAGCCATCGATATTTATGTGTGTACTTACTGAGTTGCTTTTAGGATGGTGCTGCCCGTGTGGATGGTGCTTCCTATACGGGTGGTGCTGCCTGCCTGTGGTGATGGTGCTGCTTGTAGGGGTAGAAGTACCTATGAAGGATGAGGTGCTTGTGGAGTGAAACTGTCTGTATAGATTGAGTTCTGTGTGGTTGAGCTGCTTGTATCGTTGTTGTTAGCTACCCGTTAGTAGGTGCTGCTGTCTGTGAGATTGTATTTGCCAGTTACCGTGTGCATGTTCAGGGGTGACGGCGAGATCTTCCTGTAAGTCTCTCAGTCCCAGTGAGTGGCTGGCAGAATGGAGGAGCAGGTGAAGGGGAATATTATTGTTGTTGTTTAGCAAAATTGGATACATCGGCAGTGCGCTGCTAGCCTGTTCTATACTACCAGGGTAGAAGAGGGCTGGGAATGAGAGGAAATGACTGCTGCATCTTGGGTTCCTTTCTCTGTGTATGTGAATTCCTCAACAAAACTGTACCATTTAATAAATACTTAATACAGTGGGTGTTGAGAAATGGTTTACCAGCTAAGTTTATAGTTTAAATATAGGGAAAACTTAGCTTAGAAAGACAGCTCATCGCCTGCACAGCCGCCCCTGCAGTCGAAGTCTTGAGAAGCTGTCGAAGATCACTTCTCAACTGGCTGAAATGAATTATATTTTGTAAGATTATAAATTACCCCTAGGGGGTGTTATGTCAGCATATTTCATTCACTGATGGATGACATGCGCACTTGTGTGGACTCAAAAGTCCACACCTCACTGCCGACTATAGGTTGATTACAAACTCCTTGCGACTCAAGAACTGCGCAGTCCCCCGTACTACAAGAAATCTATAACCCACCTTGCTCTTGTAGCGTGAGCTATGGTGTTCTTCACACCTTCGACAGGTATCGGTGACTTGATAGAAGCTGAAGTGTCCTTGGATGTCCACGTCTTCCATAGTCTAGGAATACGCACACTGGTACACTATGTTCCACAAGATTTGTCTTTATTGTTCACAATCTTATCACTAAAGAAGCTTATCACACTTCTCTGTAAGTGTTTATTTTGTTTTGTGAGACACTTTGTTCACACTAACGCACGGATCGTTCTTTGTTGGTTATCCTGGCGTCAGTGTGACTCTCAGTAGAGACAAAAGTAATCTGAAGACGTCACAGCGTCCTACACTGTCACTGCCCCTAGCACATAAAGGCAAAGCTGACCTAGTACTTTTGCTTCCTTGCCACTTCCTCCATGAAGCAAAGCAGAATGCTTGATTCTTGCTGTCTTAAGCATAGACAACAATGTCCACTATCTTTACCATGGTAATAAAGTGGGAGCAGGATTTTCCTTAATTGCTCTGCTAATGTAAGAGATGGACTGTCTTTTATTAAAATACACTTTGCAACACTGGAGTCTTGCACGGAGCCTCGGTCGCTTGACCACGTTGTATATGTGTACTGCATCTGGGATCAATTACTTGCTGTAGCAGTAAACAAGATGCTTGCCCCTTCTGAGAGGGCTGGGCCCCTCAGGGCTGAAAGGGGCTGAAGGGGGCTGATACCCCCCTCCTGGAGAAAATTTCTCCACAGTGGGACAGAAGAGAAGTAAAATGGAAATGTAAACACATGTGCAGTATAATGTGATCCTTTATTGACAACGTTTCGCCCACGCAGTGGGCTTTAACAAGTCACAAACAGACCTACGTGGGTGAAATATACGTGAGTATTTATAGGATGAGAATGCTGGGTCAGGTGGAGAAAGCTGCATGTGACAATCTTCCGAGTAGAGTGATAGAGTCTAAAAACATGGGTAGTTTTTAAAAGTATATGAGTAGACCTTCTGCAGTGTTCCTCGAGTCTTATGTTCTTATGTGGGATAGCGATGAAGAAGTTTCTTTTCAAGAGGTTCAGCTATGTTACAGAAGCCGTTGTTCTGGTTAAGTTGTTGGATGTGCAGATAAGTGATGATTCCAGGATTCTTCGGTATTGAGTGTTGTCTTCTCTGGCGATAAGGCTTGCGTTTCTGTAGTTGATTAAATGGTTGTGTGAATTTCGGTGTTGAACACAGGCATTCCTTGGATCGTCAGATCTGCCTGCGTACTGGTGTTCTGAAATACGTGTTTGGAGGTCTCTGGATGTTTCGCCGACGTCATTACAAAGGATTGTGTATACCCCTGCAGAGGATTGAAGCTTGTCCTGTCTATTACTGGTAATGTCCTTGATGGTGGTGGATGTGGAGGTAGATACTTGGAATAAGGTTTTGGGAAAGATGTTGGAAACGTGTTTGGCAATGGAGTTGGTGAGGAGGACTATGTGTCTCTTCTGGGCAGTGTCTTCTCTGGGTGTGTTGAAGATGTTTAATGCCCGTCGTCTGCAGTCTCTGATGAAGTGACGAGGATAGTGAAGTTTGGAAAATACTTGTTAAATTATAGTGCATTCTTCCTCAAGGAACTCATTGCTGCAGATTCTGAGTGCGCGCATGAAAAAGCCTATAATTACACCACGTTCAGTTTGGTGTCGTAATGAGAGTAGGTTGGTAGGTTTATATTTCCATTGTGACGGTATTTTATACCATTTATTTCCAGAAAAGTAAAATACTCAAAGAAATATTATTTACAGTAAGCCTAAGTAAAACATACATCAAACCGAATCTGGAATGGGAAATTGCAGTGAAAATACAAGTGTGTTAATATAACGAAATTCACACAATGCTTATGTGGGTCGAGGTCCACTTAAATTGTTCACAGAAATCGTGATTTACTTGTAATTCATAATTCATAATTCATTATGATGATGATTATTATTATTATTATTATTATTATTATTATTATTATTATTATTATTATTATTATTATTATTATTATTATTATTATTACTATTATTATTATTATTATTATCATTATTATTATTACTTCTACTGTTGTTGGTGTTGTTATTTCTCTTGATACTGCACTTACTATCAAAACATAATGAAATATACATTACACATCTTATATATTACACGTCGTATGAAGGGTTGAATCTATGAGGGTCATTCAACACATGACGTGGTGAAGGCTCTTACCTCCGTTTGCTAATCATAAAACACGCGCTAGATGGGAGGTGTAGGTGGTAGCTGCACTTGGGAGAGGTTGGTGAAAGGGTAAGGAAGGGTAGGCGAAAGGAGAGAAAACGGGATGGAAGAAGCCATTAGAGGAGAGTAAAGAAAGAGAGAGAAAGATGGAGAGGGGACGATGGGATCAATAGATGATAAAAGGGGAAGAAACAAAATAGTGGATGGTTTGGAAAAAAATGACAAACGCAGAAGAGAAGAAAAACTAAAAGGAGAGAAGGAAAGAATGCCGGAGAGAAAGCTGGAATTGTGAATAGATAGCGTAGATATCCAAAAACGGAAGAGGTAGACCGTAGCAAAGTAATGAAAAGTGTAGATGGCAGAGAGATGTAGGAAAGGTAGACGGAAAGGAAGGTGATTTGGGTGGGGGAGATCAAACAGATAAATGGAAGGGAAAGAAAAAAAGGGGTTAGACAAAAGGATAATGTGAAAATATGTATTCTGAGGAAGACGGAATAAAGACAGAAGCAAAAAGGAAAAAAATGAAGAAAAAAGATAAGAAGGAGGAAGAAAAAGGATGAAGAGGTGGAAAAGAAAGAGAACCAAAGTTTCGAAGAATAGAATGATGTTCTGATAATAAAAAATAATATGCAAGATTTTTTAGCAAAGATAATTTAAGAATCAGACGTTACAGGGAAGAATATTGCTTATTTTGCGTGTAAAATCTTCGGTTTTTAAGCATAAAATAAACACAGAACGTACACACTAAGAGAAAGCGTCATTTAAAAATTTATCTTAAAGATTTTTTTAAGGCACAAATATGCAGAAGCATACTTGTGCCTTAAAAAAAGTTTGCGTTTTATAATTAGCCCAAAACTTCAAACATTGTGGTAATGTATGGGAGGTAAAGGCTCCTAAGAGAAAGTTCAAATTGAAGAAACAGCACGAGAACGTTTCTTTCAATGTAGACCTTTATCCACATCAAAATTATTATCTGCGTTTATATTGCTGGAGAGCAATTTAAACGCAGGACCACAATCAATAGGTCACGGATTCAATTCCCGGACAAGGTGAAACGTTTAACCAAGTCTACTGCCACTCCCAATCTTTATACAACCATTAGTAAATAGCTATAGCGACAGGGTAATGCAAAGACACTTTGCTGGGACCTCCCTTTTTTGCAACATTGCAAGCTCCTGATGTGTTGATTGCAACACGAAAGGCCTAGAGCTAT